GCTGCGGTGGTCAGTGGTCTCTCCTTATTCGGGCAACAAGCAACCAGAATGAAGACTCTGAAGACTGTTTGAGAGTTTGAGACACTTTCCGCTGAAGATCCGATCACTTCACCAATTTAAGAAATGTAAAAATATTTTGGTTTGTGCAGCACGAAGTACTGACAAATAAAATTAATTAAAAGCAACAAATGTTTCTAAAAAGATGTTTATTTCTCCGTATATTCCAACAGTTTCCATGGTGACTATTTCTATTTACATGACCAGACACCAGTAAGTAATACAAACTAGAATCTCCTCCTCGTGGTTGTATCCCTCCGCCACTCAGACTAGTTCCAGGTATTTGTGCCAAATGTGAAAGGATTCCCTTGAGGAATTCTAGAGATACTATGTTCACAAAGACCTTGACCTTTGACCTTTAGCCACCAAAATGTAATCAGTTTGTCCTTGAGTCCTAGTGAATGTTTGTGCCAAATTAGAAGAAGTTTCTTCAAGGTGTCACTGAGATATCGTGTCCACGAGAATGGCACGGACGACCTGAAAACAATATGGCTGCTGCTCTGACTGTCGCCGGCACAGAGGAATAAAAACACGTTTTTTCTTCTCGGGTGAACTGGATCATTAATAAAAAAAGAAATGTCACAAAAACCTCGAACATTTCTTTTCAAGTTTCAAACTTGTTCCAACACTGATAATATTCAGGAGAAAAGACGCTGCAGAGACGGTTTATACTCTGAAACACAAAACTGATCTGATCTCTGGAAAACATGGTGAAGTACGGCTGTGGTGACATCATGAGAATACTGACAACCATTTCCTCTGTGTGTGTGTGTGTGTGTGTGTCCAGATGTCTGTAGCCTGTGGGAATGAGAGCAGTGTGTGAGTAGGACAGGAAATGATGTCAGGAATTCTCATGGAGATTCTGATGGATATATACACACAGTCACACACACACACACACACACACACACACACACACACACACACACACACACACACACACACACAGTCACATGCAAACTGTGACCAACAAGATTTCTAAAACAAAACCAGTAGGAGCATGTGATGTGTGTAAGAAGATGTTTTCGTCTCAAACTGACATGATGATTTACACAATCTGTTTCCTAACGACAGAAAAGTTTTTTCAGCTCTTTCCTTTATCTGTCTTTATCAGGAGTCCACGTGTGTGTGTGTGTGTGTGTGTACATTTGCTGATTTGTGTGCATTTGCATGTGCGTGAGTCATCAAATCAGGGCCTTAACGCATTAACTGCAGTTAAGCCAGTTACTTCTGTAAAGCTGCTCAGTGCAAAGAAGCTCAGCAAGTCAAGGTCAAGTTGGACTGAGGAGTGAGACACACACCGAGAATCCTGCAGTGAGACGTTACCTTCAGACCGTGAGGGAAAAACCTCGGATACAGAAAACATTCACATTCGTCGGCCCATCGTTACCGTCACCGACTCTCAGTAATCAGCGCAATCACCAACTCTCTCCACTTTCTATAACATGAAGCTTCTGATTCCTGCTCATTGCACACAGAGTTTATTTACTGTAAAGTCCGATAGGCAGGAGTCAGGTTTCCATTAGAGAAGCAGCTGTTAACCGGTTTCACCATCAACAGCTTTATAACCGTCACGGTTTAGTCATCGTAAAGACTCTGCTGCACCGACGCAACCTGCACGGAACGAAAACAGTTAACGCCAGTGGTGCAACAACTCTGAGCGAGTCACGGAGGTTAGCTAACTGCGCTAACACCAAGAACGAGCAGGGAGTCACCAAGATAATTTACTTGTCACTTGGTAAGACTTTAGCGCGACACTACGGACAGTTCAAAAGTCAAATGATGAACATTATGGCAAAGAACTTTTTTTATTTCCAGCAAAAAAACATGATTTTATTACATATTCTGTGTAAAACTTTTCACCACTTTTCTATTTCAAACAACATTTTTAAGCCTTTTTAAGAATTTTTAGCTCATTTGAAGTCACGCTACGAGGCTACGGCTGCTCACAGTAAACGCTACAGCGCTAGCATTTAGCTCCACAACAAATGGTAAGTTGCGGACGGACGGTTTTGTTTTTCCATGACTTCACAGTTAAGTTGGAGAGTTTCCCAAAAACCTGATGTAGTCTGTAAACGAGGCTTTTCTCTTGCACGTCAGGAATCTTCAACACCTGCTGCACCGAGTATCAACGCTCGAGTTTACAGACATGTTTTGTGTTTTTCTTTTAAACTGCTGTGATAGTGACTTTCTGGTCGAGCTGAGTCAGTGTTGAGTCACAGAGGCAGGAGTGAGTGTCTGTTTTTATAAGGCTAATGGTAAAACTACCAGAATAAACAGAGGAGTGACTATGAGAGGCTTAACATGAGCTTAATGCACACACATACACACACACACACACACGCACGCACACACACAGCATGGTGTAACTTGAGTCTTTGGCCCTGACGGCAAGAGGACACAATAAGCCATGTGTTGAGAGAGGGGGGGGGGGGGGGGTCAGGTTTGTCTCCTCACTGTGTTTCCTGTTTAATGATCTCTCTTCACTAACGCAGCCGACAGATGCTGACTTCACTTGTTTTTCCTCGAGCTTTCTTTCTCTCTCTCTCTGTTTTCTCGATCATCTCTGACCTCTCTCTGCCACTCCTCGTCCTCGTCCTCATCGCTGCTGCTAAAGATTTAAATTCGAGTCAGACCTCCATTCAGATGAACTCTATTAACTTCAGCTAATCCCTGTTGAATACTTCCTTGTTTCCTCCTCCACTGTGTTTGTTTCTCTCTTTGATTTTTTGTTAGTTTTTCTCTCTCTCTCTCTCTTTTCCTGCCCGCCTCATCCTCTCACTCTGATTGGCTGTTTTTTGAATTTTCAAACAGTGACCACGCCCTCTTCTTTTCCCTACTTTCTGTCACACACACTCTCTCTAAAACACAGGATGTACGCTCATACTTTTCTTCCTTCCATCCTTCCTTCCAAAACAACCAGATGGTGAGACAGCAGCCGAGAGACAGACAGCGACAGCAGGCGGGAAACCCTCCGAGAGTGACATCACAGCCAGTCTCTCTCTCCCTCTCTCTCTCCCTCTCTCTCTTCCCCTCTCTCTCTCTCTCTCAGAGGGTATAAAGGCCTCATTGTGTCGTCCCTCACACGGAAAATGTCGGAGGAACGCTGTGAATTTGACGGCGTGGATCCACAGTCCAGGGTCAGCGTGACAAAAACACACACACACACACTGAAGTGTCACCCTGAACTCTCTGAGCGTTTGTGTACAACTGGTTTTTATCAAGGATTCCTGAGGTGACTGGGATGACTGGTGTGTATGAAAACTGTGGGGGACGCTTGTAAAACACAGTGTGTGTTTGTGTGTGTGTGTGTGTGTGAGAGTGTATATAAGACTGTATCTGTGTATATCCAGGGATCTTTTAAGTTACCAAATAACTGACACTACTAATGTGGCGTCCACTGTCTCTCAGTTACGGTGACAACTAGTCCACATATTAGAGATGCAGCTGTTAACCGGTTTCACTATGAACCGCTTTAAAACTGCCACGGTTAAGTCATCGTAAAGACTCAGCTGCACCGAGCCGGTTTCTGTTCTCACTCGAAAAAGAGACTCGATGCCGGGACAGTTAACGCCAGTGGTGCAGCAACTCTGAGTGAGTCACAGAGGCTACGCTAACTGCGCTAACACCAAGAATGAGTAGGGAGTTAATCAAGACCACGGCTCACCTGCTGGAGAGAAGAGGTGATTTTAAGGGTCGAACACATAAAACTTGATGCAGCATCTGTGGGATCACCACCAGCTTTACTAACAACCAAGTTAAAGTTAAAAAGATTCTTTCTTTTGTACTGTTTTATTTGGTTGGTGTATTATTTCTGTTTTCAAAAGGCAGCAATAAATAACACATTAAAACCTCTAAAGAAATGTGATTATTCCTCAGGCTATAATCGTAATCGTTGCATCCCTGCCACACACACTGTAGATTTTCAACAGGGGAATTCCTTTAACAAATTAAAGGAAGCCACTGTCTCATGACTTCAACAGCGTAAAGAGAAAACGGGTCATTAAACTGTCTCCCAACAGATAAAAGAACGGCCATAACAAAACAGCGTGTGTGTGACACCGGTTGGGAAATGTAAGGTCCTCACTTCAGTCTGGTTCATCTCACCACAAACACATCACACTGATTTTACATTCTGTTTAACTCGTCCTCTAGCCCAGTGGTTCCCAACCTTTTCCAACTCACGGCCCACTTTAAAATCTCAAAAATGTTACCTTGTTAGTAGGGAGAGAGAGAGTTAGCATTAGCACAACTGCTAACACTGTGTCAGACACTGTTAGTTACAAGCTAGCAACCAACATAAACAAGTAAAAGATGCTAACTAGCTAACGGTTCTGACCCGTCTGCTAGTCTCTGGTTCTGGTCTCAACAGACTCCTCCTCTGAGTCTGGGTCTGACTGAGGCTCAAACATGTGGCTGAGTCTCTCTGATGTTTCCTCCTCTCACCATCTTGATGCTCTCTGCTCTTTCACCTGTCCACCTGGAGCCAACAGGTGGTGGGCGGGGCTCAAGACCTGATCCGGATTTCTCAACCAGGAAGTGAGAGGAGACGAGCTTCAGACCCAGTTTTTATGTGAGAAACATGTTGAACTAAATATGAATCACAGCAGAGGATTTTTAGAGTTTAAAACATGTTTTAGCAGAAGCTGAATTAGCTTCCTGGCTAAGCTAGGGTTTGTGTTGTTTGTTTGTTTTTTTGTATTGTTTTGTTGTGTTGTTTTGGGATAGAAACTAGAGCTAGCTCACTGTGTCCCAGCTGAAATAAATCTACTTCAAACAACCATCAGTAAACTAAGCTGACAGCACCATAACATCTGCTGATACACTGCACTTCAACTCTCACATGAACACAGCTGATCTGCATCTGTGACACAGCTTCAGATCATCTTCACAGAGAGAGAGAGAGAGAGAGAGAGAGAGAGAGAGAGAGAGAGAGCACTTACTTTGACGTCTTGCTCCAGCGTTCGTATCAGTTCTCCGTCCACCTGCCCCGTCTGGGCCACGCGGAGAGAGCGCCGCTCTGCCTTCCTGAGCCGGTACTGCAGGATGCGGCAGGTCTTGTTTGCCTGAAAAGCACAGGCAGTGTGAGTGGATGATGTAACTGTCTGAGCTGATCTTTGTTACTTTGCTTCACTTTATTGTGCCTTCGGGAAACATTTGCCTTCCAGCAGCTGATAAAACACAACAGACGATGTGTAGTACACACACACACACACACACACACATACACACACAGAACAGTTGCTTTTTACTCTGAGCAGCTTAAGGCAAGACAAGGCAGATTTATGTGTATATCAAGTTATCATACACAGAGGTCATTCAATGTGCTTGAAACGAAGCGTAAAAGTAGAAATAAAAAGCATAATAACAAAACAGTGTAAAAATACAGATTATAAAACAGATAATATCTTATTAAAGTGCAAAAATAAAAGATTAAATGAAGGCAGAGGAGAACAGAACAGCTTTTAGCTGAGGGCCCAGACCATTTAGTGACTGAAGTCTTCAATGAAAAACTGTAATTTTGAAGATCCAGACTGTACCCAGTTTTGTGTAGCACCTCTCACTCACAGATGACATTCAGACCATTGATCACTCTCCGTCTTACTCGCCTGTTTCTAAACATTTCGCATCCTGTTTCGGTTTTATACATTCACACATTTAGACTAGTTTCATACAGTTAAACTTCCAAATCAAGAGAGATCAAAGAAAATGAGATCACAGATTAAAAGAATAAAAGATTGTTTCTCAGTACACATTTTTATTCCCTGCCTTTTTAGCTTGTTAACCTTTTATGTTCATAATTGTGTTCTTCTTTTTGTTAGTATCTTTATATGTTTCTGTATACTGTATATTTTCCTGGTGTTTTTCTTATTCTATACGTTCATTTTGAAAGTCCTTTGTACAGTTTTTTGGTGTCAGCTGTGTTTAAATGAGCTCTACGAATAAAGCTGGCTTGAGGTTGACACGTACCTGCTCCAGCTGTTGCCGCAGCTCCTGCAGCTGGTAAACGTCTTCTTCCATGTACATGTCCCTCATCTCCAGCATCTCAGACCTCAGCTCCTCCATCTCATCCTGGACACAGTGAAGAGAAGAGAGTGAGTGAGTCAACCTGTACTTTTACATGAAATATTGTGAATCAACAACTCATCCAATATCAACCGGCAGAGAGAGAGAGAGAGAGAGAGAGAGAGAGAGAGAGAGAGAGAGGTGTGGTAGCTGTTACGTATTAAACAAATAAATAAATCTGTAAAAGAATAAGAAATGTCCCCCTCTTCTTCTTCAATGACAGAAAGCAAAAGCAATACGATAAAATCAAAAACAATATAGTAAAAGTAAAAGCAATTGGTAAGAGTGTTTTTATTGGTTATTTCTCTTTATATTTCCACATTTTTTATTTATTTATTGATTATTTTGATCATTCCTGTTTATATTTCCACATTTACTGTGTTATTCTTTTACAGATTTATTCTTTTTTATGGCTCTTCTACGACTCCACACACACATCTGGGTCATAAAGAGGATCCTTTGGTGTCTAATAGGAGTCATTATCGCTTTTAGCATCTTTGTCATGAATGCAAACCAAGAATCATCATCATCATCATCATCATCAAAAAATCGTTTTACATTAACTTGCTACGATCATCATTATCCACTGCTCGCTGTCATTAACCGCCACAATCTTCGTCTTCATCATCCTCATTATCAGAGTAACCATTACAACAATTAGTGTCTTCTTAGAATGACCTGCTGCGTAATATTATCTCTAGTCAGATAAAAGGGGGTCATCAGAAATACATGAGATCTACATGCTGTAAGCTGCTACTGAGGAATAAAATGATACTGTATTGATTCTCCTTTCTCTCTCCCACCCAGGAGGTAGTACAAAGGAGGTCAAAGGTCAGGCTCAGGCTATTAGATGACCTCAGAGGAAACTAACAGTCCCTGCAGGGAAATGCAGGGTCTCTTTGTAACAGCAAGCATCAAGGGGAAAGAAGAGATTCCTACACACAAATACAATATAAAAATGTTTAAACAAAACAAAATAACCCAGTTAATATGACTCATTTACAGTAGAGTTGTTATCTATCTCTCTTTATAGATTATTATCTTGATTGATAGAGATAAATGATTCATTTCCGCTTGACAGCATGAATTGCATCATCCCTCTGAATCCTATTTAAGGTGCAGCTCTCGCGTTGGCAAAGAAATCAGCATCAGCCCACTGGAAGAAGTCTGGGTCACTGGGCTTAATGGGACAGTAAGAGGCATGTTACACAATGGTGTGCCTCCGTATGTGTGTGTGTGTGTGTGTGTGTGTGTGATGTGTAAGGAGAATAAGCAAAAGGAGCACGAGCTGCTGTAGTAGTGGGAGTAGTGCTGTCATAATTTACTATAGTGGAAAATGTGGGTCATCTTCTGCAAAACAGCTCCGAAGCTCCGACGAAGCTCTGGGTTTGTACGTTTTGTACGTGTGTGTGTGTGTGTGTGTGTTATGAAAGCGAGACAGGGAACAACAGAAGGTTAGGGTGTGTCCATGTCTCCACCTCCTCGAGAATAAACAGTTTGTGTACGAGTATGGATCGTAAACACGTTAAAGATGAAGGTAAGGTGCGTGAGTTTAGCAAGCAGCTAAGTATGTGTGTGTGTGTGTGTGTGTGGTTGTGTGTGTGTGTGTGAATGTGTTTATGCGTAAAAAAAGATTTGTCGATCAAGCTAAAAAAGACTGCAGCAACGAGCAATCTGCAAAACATTGACCACTGCTACAAAGAGGAGAGAGGCAGCGAAGAGAATAAAGAAAGAAAGAAAGAAAGAAAGAAAGGGAGGATGGATGGAAAAATGGAGCATGAAGTAAATGATCGTGAGGAGGATAAAACACGACAGTGAGAATGTGAGGACAGGAAACGAGGGAATCACACGTTAATGTGGTGAGAGAAAGAGAGAGAGAGAGAGAGAGAGAGAGAGAGAGAGAGAGAGCTGGTCCACTGACCTGCTTTTCACTGCTAACTAAAGAAGAACAGCAAAGATGGTTTGTCATGTGAGCAACCAGCCAGTCAGGAGAAGGAATCGACCAATCAGACGTCAGAGTTCAGTGAGCCAGATGGGTTAATGGTAGAAATTAGCGCTCACACACATCTGCTGTGATACCAGTGCTCAGCACAGTGGGTAAATTACCAACATGAAGAACCCAGTTCATACACAGGCAAACTGACACTGACACCGCTACATGAAGACGTTAAAGCTGCGGGTGTTCTCGGTGCGTTTCGCTTTTAATGAATGAAAAAAAACAAAGCAAAGAAGCTGTTAACGCTTCAGAGTTAACAAGGAAACATGAACCTTACAGATGTGTTCATTGTTGTGATTAACCCATTTAAAAACAGGAAATTTATGCAGCTTTTTGAGCCAGAAGCTGCTTATTTTGACTCTACTCCAGTTTAAATTTTATTGTATTTCAAAAATAATTAAAGCTCCATATTTTCCTCTTCCTCTGTGTTTTATTTGAAGTGTTGATCCATAAGAAGATGTGTAGTTTTACATCTCCTCCCTCAGGCTTCTCTCTGGAGCTCCAGAAACAACAGGTCAGTGAGCCAATCAGAAGAGAGGAGGCTCTGAGCCTCTCCACTGATTGGCTGACTGTTTTCTGAGTGATCCAATAAAAATATAGCAGATTTCAGGTAAAACACTCAGAGAAACCAAATCCTGCAAGGTTTGGATGGTGGGTCTAGGTGGGCGGGGCTTGGTGACTGCTTTGTTGTGACATCACAAAGTTCCAGAAGTCCTGACAGCTGGTTTTAAGGCTCAGTTTCTGAATACAGGCTGTGTGCATTTCTCTGTGGACTGAGGCTTTGATACTTTCACAGTATTAATATAGAACCTAGACCTGATCTATAATCAAACTACACATGGATAGAGACCTTTAGACTGGAGGGACCTTTAAGAATATCAATAATATTGAATAGTGAAGAGTGTAAACAGAGGGAAACAGCTGACCTCTAATAATTAACACATTATATAAATACCTACTAAATGACACAATTGTTTTTTACCAGTGTACAGAGACAAAAGTTTCCTTCCGTTTCTAGTCTTTGTGGTTGGCTAAGCTAACTGTCTGCTGGCAGTAGCTTCATATTTAGCGTACAGTTGTGAGAGGTATTGATCTTCTGAGTGTCATATTTCTGAAAACATCAAACTCTTATTTTAAGAATATTGAGATCATATCCAGTACTGCCACATACATGTACATCTAGTGAGTTTGAAAAGCGACGTGGTTTAAAATGTAAACACAGGTGGACGTGGATCTGTTTGGCAGTGCCACTGAGGTCACTGAGCCAACAGCATCACACACGAAACATACAAGCTTCAATCGTGTCAGACACATGTACTATATCTTCAGAAATCTTGTTTGTTATGATAATAGCATTTCAGGTGAGGTAAAGCAGCATTTTGTAAGATAAGCTTATATCAGGATTTACCACCAATTATTGAACTGTAAACTGTTAAAATTCTTTGCAGTGTAAAATAATCTGAATATTGCAGTAAAGCAGTGAGAAGGCTAAAACAGTCATCTACACAAGCTGCACAGATGCTCGACTGTTAGCTTAAATTGTAGTCACAGGACAGACATTCCTAAAGATTAAGTCCGGACAGCCTCATCTTAGAGAGTCACACTCAGCTGTGATATCAGGTCTGTAGTAAAGGCCTACATGTAGTTTATCATGTTTACCTGCAGCATGTTGTGCTCGACTAAAGCCACTTAGGAGTGACCGACAATGAGTCAAACTGTTGTTAGCATGTTGTGGCTGCAGGAGAGACAGGAGTTAGGACTGCAGGTAGGTGGCAGGTGGAACATTATAATCGTTAACCACACGTTCTGTCGCAGCTTCAACAGATTTTGACAGGGACATTATACACACTGAGATCTGAAGTCATAATTAATGAGGTTTCAACAGCTGCGAGTTGTGAGCGGGAAACCATAGCTGCACATTAATATGCAGCACATGAGCTTATAGTGGGAGACAGGCAGATACAGTATGCAGTGATAGACAAAAACACTGAGCATTGTGGGTAGAAACAGAGTGATAGAGTTGGAGAGCGAGAATTAGACGGTGCACAGGTAGAAAAGGTCTGAGGAGTCTGAAGCCTCAGCGGCAGCGTGGTGTTTTGATTTTCTGTTTACCAACCAGGTGCTCTTCACAGCTGCAACAACACACACACACACACACACACACACACACACACACACACACACTAACTGCACTGCCAGGCCTCCCATGAGGCTTTGGGGTGGTCTAATAAGTAGCTCTGTTGCACCCTTTTGTAAGTTGACAACACTGGATCACCACACACACACACACAAACACACACACACACACACACACACACACACACACACACACACACACACACACGGCTGCAAATGTGCAAATGTACTAAGATGCGTTGTTAAATACTGTTTACACCTAAAAAGGTTCAGGTTTTATCCAACAAGGCAAACAACAGTAAAGTTCAGTTGAGAAACAGGGCTGCAGCTAATGATTATTTTCATTATTGATTAATAGTTACGTCTGTGTAACACCAGGAAACAATGAGAAATATCCGTCATCACATGTCGTGTTTTGTCTGACCAACAGACCAATATCAAAAATGATTTGAGTGTGAGACACTGAAAAACAGCAAATTCTCACATTTAGGAGCCTGAAAGCATCAAATCTTTGCTGTTTGCTTTTTAAAGAAAATCATCAAATCAGTTGCTGATTCATTTTCTTTCATCTGAATAACCGATTAATCGACTAATCTTTTCAGCTCTGATGAAATATGTGAAGAGCCCAGGCTGATCCAAAATCCAAACTGTTTAACTCATGGGACGCCTCGGTGGCTCAGCTGGTAGAGCGCGTACCACATGGACTTAGTCCTTACCGCAGAGGGCCATGGGTTCGGGTCCGACCCACGGCCCTCTGCTACATTTCATCCCCTCTCTCTCTCCCTGACTTTCTTGTCTATCTCTCACTGTACTATCGAAAATTTAGGCAAAATTTGAGCAATTCATCAAATAATGATTCATT